TGAGGTCAGCCAAAGACCCCACACTGCATTTTTGGATGGTTTTTTGACCATCAACCACCCTCCAAGATCATTCTTCAACAATTGACCCTTTTTTTCAACTGCCGGACCCTGGTGAAAACCATCAATTGGAAACTCTGAGAAGTGTCTGATTGATAGTTTTCTTGTTGTCCATCGGACACTCCCAATCAAGTGCCCAATAGACACCAGGCTGTACACCATCATCTGGATGGTTTCCACTGCTGAGCATCACCTGGACACTTTCTGAAGCGTCCAAGTGATGCCAGGCGCGCCCAAACGTCCATTGGACGCTTTGCAACCAAATTGCGGGCACTCAAAACGGAATCCATTGGGCTGCTGGGGAGTTTTTATAAAAACCCACCCCATTGTGTATGCTTTCACAACACCAGGTGCATAAGTAATTGTCGAGTTGCCTCTCCTGATGGTTCAGCCCTTGATGGGACTCATACAGCTGCAAGACAACCCCCCCCCCCCTCCTCCTCATCATCATTATCAATCACTCTGGTACGGTCTATGTACCACCACTTGACTTACAGGCTTCTCCACCAACCCATGATCAGCTTGGGCTTCAAACGGATCCTCATGAATCAGGGCTTGGACTGGAGGAGCTCTTCTGCTGGCCCGTTGGATTCTAGATCTGGATTTAGAGCTTTTCATCTCCTTATTTCATGCATTCAAACCCGCTCAAACTTGCTAGTCTTGATATGCAGTGGGATATGTAAGTCGGATTTCTTTTAGGGTGCTGCACAATATAGGCCCAAAATTCTGTTGGAGTTAACTAGCTGGTTACTTGTGCTCATCTCATAGATCTTGGCTCAGATCAGTGGTCTCTCATCATCCACAGATATCCCTCTCTTCAGTCTTGCTTCTTTTCTGTGTGTGTTTAATCAGCTTTCATGGCTCCGCCAGCTTGCTTTCAGCCTCAGGTATCTGGGATATTTGTTCTGCACTGTTTGTAGTATAATGGATGACTTCCTGTCAACATCTGCAGGTCTCCCAGTTTTGATTTAGAGCCGCAAAAGCTAGATTTTCCTGCAAAAATCTAGACGTTTTGGGTCTAAATTGCAAACTGCAAGGGTCCCAGATCCAAAGGGAAGTCCTCCAATCATGTCACATTTTTTTCTCTTTTGAATCCGTGTAATGGAAAAAAAAAAAAAAAAAAAAAAAAAAAAAAAAAAACTGATCAAAATTTCATATGATTTCTCCTCATCTTAAATAATTAACAGCAAATTTTTCAATCATCTATTGAAAAAAACAACCCTTTTTCTCTCATCATCATCATCATCATCATTCTTTTTTGTATCTCAATTGTCTCAAGGATTTTTTTTAGTTTACACTTGTAATTAGGTAAAGGGCAAACACAATCACCTTGATTGCAGAGATAGTTTGACACCTATATTTGTGTCTTCAGCAATAGTGACAATGAAATCTTTCAGGTTACCAAATATCTTGCCCTGCTGGACTGTGTGGGGCATTTATCTCATCATCCTCTCATTTGATTTCCTGATCTTCTTCCCTTTGGATTCTGTTTGCCTTTCTTTTGTTTCCAATTGGTCAATCAAGTTTATTTCCAAGGAAAGGTCATGTCCTGATCCTCCTTGGTCTTACCAAATCAGTCTTGTTGATCAAGATTGTAAGTATCAACACTGGGAACTTGGAACTTAGATACATAACAATATCCAAACAGATTTCTGTAATGTAACTTCTCAAACAAGTTATTGTTATCTGGAAAACCTGATCTTAGGAGGCTCAAGCAATGGAGCCAGGAGAACTTTACTCCTTGTTACAGAGAAAATTAACAAGGATAAAATGTTTTCCACATTATCTGAGGCAAACCCCATGAAGAAGCCCTCTTCATCTGTTCAATATCCACCTGTTTTTGTGGTGGAAAACGTAACAGAAGTGAAAAAAAAAAAAAACAAGAAGGAAAAGATGATGTGACAGCAAGGCCGTTGCAGCTATCATAGCAATAACGGCGCCACTCCCATTACATCATTGTTACCTTAGCATTAACAACAATGTAACTTCCCATTGTTGTGAGTATTCCACTTGGTTGGATTCAAAATTGCACAATAACATTGGAGATGTTGTCAGCTCCGCTGATCAGTTTCAGTGCAGCACTCAATCAATTGTTGTTTAATTTCTCAATTTTGTTTGCTGACATAATGAAAAAAAAACTGGACATCTTGGCCTTCTTCAAGCAACATTTCAATTTCTCATCCTTCAAAGAAAAAAAATAGGTTCAACTTCAAGGCAGAATATGAAAGAAAAAAAAAAGCATACTTGATTTGTTGGGTTTGTTTAACATACTGCTGATTGATTGTGACAGTTTGCACACAAAAAATTCAAGCATCACAGGATACAGGAGGACCTAGATGGGGTCCAAAACAACACGTGCTTGGACACGTTTTACATCCCCTATTGATCTGACTCCCAGATTGCATCCCCCAGTGGGACCAGGTTTGTAGATACTGGGATGTGTTAAATGAGGTTCACACTTCCCCATGGAGTTGCCCTAAAAATATCTTGGGAATCGGTCAAAGGATTCCTCAATGATTGGAGGAGCAAGCTGTCTACATACGCCTCCCTGAGACCAAGGTCAGACTTCTCCAGCTAGCCCCAGGACCTAAGATGAGGTCGCGAAACTCTTGGGGATTGCTATCTGCTTTGGGGGTGGTAAAGTCCAATGGCCAGTGCCAGCAAACTTAGTCAAGTCCCTCGACCGGACCTCCCAAGGCAGACAAGGGACTTGTCTAAGTTCTTGGTGCCACTGCCAGGTCCCAAAGGATTGAATACATCTTTTCTGAGCTTGTACGCTGGCATCGGTCTGTAATAGTCCGGTAAGAAGGATGCATTCTCAATGAGCTGGCAGGAGCTTGTACCATCTGCCCGAGGAGGGATACCTCTTCACCGAGGGCTTGTGCCAGCTCTCCAATGAACTGTTAAATGTTGATCCCTACTGCTCGACGAGGCGGTACTTGCCCTGGTAGTGGTACCACTGAGCCTACTTCAATGAGCCAACAAAGACCACAAAAAACAATTGCCCCGTTCACAGGAAGGCTTGAACAGCCAACCTGGGGATGGATGTTCTACTGTAGTACGCTCTCCTGGGTGGCCAGAATGGTGGTCGTAGAACAATCCATCGTGACGCTTACCGATTGCGCTACGGGGCCGGTGACTTGTTTGGCAATCCATGAGCCTAAGTAGGTTCCGGGCGGGCAATATTAGGGCAAAAAGAGACAATACTGCATTTCCCAAGTCAAAAGGATCATGCCTTCTCACTGAGGATGTACCTTTGTTGGAGAGGATGTACTCGCTTTCCACTGAGCTGGTAAAGGCCCTAGGTGAGGAGGGATCCCTCCCCCAGTGAGCCAGTACAGCTTACAACTTCCATGCCACTTTAACACGGGTAAAATGCACTTTATGGAGTGCAGAGCGGTCCAGATTACCAAGGAGAAAAACTTCAAGGCCTAATAATAGCTTGAGAATTTTCCAAATGATCCCCCAACAATTTGAGGTGCAGCCCCAACACTTGGCCATCACCAAGTCCAGCGGCCAACGTCGTAAGCAGGTTGCGCAACTCAAGTTGAGCTCGTGGGGGCGCCAAATTGGATAATACATTCTTCCTTGAATTGCTGAGCTAGTACGGCCTGTACTGGATTGGAGAGGGTCAGTTAGCTGAACCGGTCTGTGCAGTTGCACCATACTTGCCGGAGTCATTTTTGTGGACCACTGGCCAGTATACAAGATCAAATCCTTTTCCCATGAAGTTCCAATTAATGATGTCGTCAATATTGTATTTGAAAAAATCACGGGTTGGATTGCTTTTGATTTTCTGTGGTTTGGGGAGATCTCTCATTTCTTTTTTTTTTCTGTGGGTTTTTGAAAACAATCCTAATTAGGATGCTCCAGTGGATGATTTTGAAGCCATCTTGATTAACACCTAAGTTGATCTTCTGGTCAAGAATAGCTTTTTCTAATCCGACTGCCCACTGCCCAATTAGTTCATCAATCAATCCTCTCTACCACCATGGAGAGGCTGGCCATTTCCTGGGCCATTATACATGCCATGATCTGTGGTACTTGGGGCAACAAGAGAAACTGAAAATATGAAATCAATCCACACAGTCAAACCAAAAACAATTGAAACACTCTACAATTCTTTTGGAGTCAGTTTTTGAATACAGCTGGGTAAACAAAATTGGGGAAAAGGAAGCTTAATGTTCCAACAAACCAAGAAAAGAGTGTGGAGTTATAGATGACATGAGACAGATTGTTGGATCTTTAATCCTGCTCACAAGTTCGGGTATGGTTGGAAGCTTGAAAAAATGATTTGCAGCTGGTGGCTGGACATGTATGCCATCATGAAAAAAATCAAATCAAGGAAAACATTAACCATTTTTGGGGAGCATTTTGGAATGGGGTTCAGGTTGGAATTTGGATGGTCAATTCTACATACATCCCCTCTTTCCACAGGCCATAAACACATATACATTAGTCTCCTTTTATTGCCCAGTGATTTCAAAAATAATAAAACATATGGACTGTATATTTGAATCTGGCTGACACCTTTGATTGTGATCAAAAAGCTTTGTGGCTATTATCTGCAAGCAGACTCCAGAGTGTAACTGAAAAATTCTCCAACATCTAGTTCTATTGCCAGTTATTGGCTCATGGGAGTAGCTGTTCCTACATGTGCTCAAATTAGGAATGTACCCAAAATGTGTTTGGAAAATTTGTGCTCTGTGTTGGGTTTCTTTTTTGTTTACTGTTACTGACTTCCAGATCTTATCACATCATTGGGAAGCTGGAAAAATGTTTGGTAGTTTGTGTATACATAGATCTTTTTTTGTTTTGAGCCATTTTTCTGAGTCTCGCCCAATTGGGAGTCTTGAGGAATATTTGTATGTAAAAGAATAGGCAATGGCCGGATAGTCAATCATGTATGTTTTCTTGTGCTTTGCTCTAGTGGGTAAAACTGGAGTCAAGTTAAGTTCAAGTTAGTATGGGTTTCAAGGGTCTTCTTCCTAGTAAAAAAAACATCAGTAATAGTCAAACTTTTCCTCTGATGGAGATACATTGCCAATGTTATTGGTCAAGTGGGATCATGTTTAGAGCTGATGGATGGGTGGGGGGATGCTGTGTCCATCCGGTGTTGGTTGAGTGGTGAGTGCTGTGACGATGTTTCAAGCTGAGTTGCGAAGGAAAATCAGACTACAGACTCACAGCAAACCACTCAAGAACCAACCAAAACAGAAAAACATCATCAAGATGGGAAGAAACTCAAAGAGACAACAACGAGAAGACCAGGAACTGCAACTACTGACAACAGCAGCAACAACAACAACCCCTACACTCGACTCAGAAGAGGAACACGAGGAAACAGGAACGACGACCAAGTCAGGAAGACAGAACTTATTCAATTCATTCAACATCGAGTCAACTAATTTAGAAGAGGAAAAGGAAGAGGAAGAAGAGGAGGAGAAGCTGATAGACCCAGCGAGTATTTCTCGAGGGACGACGAAGAAGAATAAACCGAAGAAGAAAAAGAAGAAGAATAAGACAACAACAGCACTTGATACGCCAACAGAAACACCACCGACCACCAAGAACGCACAGAACAACAACCAGACCGATAAGCTCAGTAGCAGTCGTGGGCCAAATGGGAAACAGAAGGAAAGCGAGACGGATGAGATCGACGAAGCGTTGCAGATCCTGGGCAAGCAACTCAAGGCCACAAACTTCAAGTCTCCTCAGTCTGAACTCGATCAACAGGAATCTTGTTCTAGAATCAATAATCTGCTCAAGGTCGACCCCAAAATGCTCGATCCTGAGTTGGAGTTACGGAGGATGTTTGGAGCTAAAGTGGTAAATATCTTTCTCCTCTGTCCTGGAATTTACGTTTCTTTTTTAATTACAAGAAAATGAGAAGCTGAATTTGAGGAGGATGCAGGTTTCGTCGAGTGGCTCGACCCTTCGTCCGTTCCAAGGGATGTATGGCCCCCGGATCACGAACGACCCGCACCACCAACTGAACACGAAGCTCAAGATGAAGGGGGGCAACATGCTAGCGAAGCCGGAGCCGAGCTGGCCGGCCTACAACCGGGCCACAGCCGGGCTGAGCATGCGACGGCTGAGCGACGAGGAGGTGGACGCCGGCCAGCTGGCGCAGGCCGATCTCTGGTTCAGATTCGAACATGCCGTCAGCTTCAAGCTCGTCCAGTCGCGGTTCCTGCAAGCTATCATGTCTCTCGGTCCGTCCTTTCCTCCTCTCCTCTCTTCTACTCTTCTAGGCTGATTTTAGCTGGCTAATGCTAATGGGCACGGGATATACAGACCCGAACCAACTGGTCGCCATCCTCCCAAGAGCCCCATACCATCCAGACACACTCTTACAACTGTCGGAAGTCGCGGCGCATAATGAAGACCAAGGCCAAGCCACGAGATTCCTCAACCAAGCCCTCTTCGTCAACGAGAAAACGCTCTGGACCGCTGCCAGCTCGTTCTTCTCCGCAGGACATTGCAGACTAGATTTCAAAATCGTCGAGAATCGTAACCTCTTTAAGGCCCTCGATCTCAAGTTCAAACTCTTGCTTAAACAGGGCTGCTATCGCTCTAGCTTTCAGACTTGTAAATTCCTCTTCTCTTTGAACCCTTATCAGGATCCTTTTGGTTCTCTACTTTGGTTCGTGTTCTCTACTTTTCTCTTTCATTTTCTGCTTTCTCCTCCTCACTTTTAGTTTCCCACTTCCCTTCGTTTTTAAGAATCTACCACAACTCTATGGGATGTCCTACTATTCGACACATTTTATTCCTGGTATACATGGACTTGAAAAAATCCAATTCTTCTCGATTCTCTTTTTTCTTAATTGTCTGTTGCGGTTGCAGTTCGAATTAACGCTCATTGATCATGTTTTTGTTTGGTAGGCTTGATTTCTTGGCTCCCAAAGCCAACCAGGATGAATTCTTTATTGAACTTCTCGACAACTTGGCTGCTCTGCAAAACCGGGATCCGAATGGTGGGATTTATACCGAAGCCTACCCTGGATTGTATTACGCACGAGCTTTATGTTTGAGAGCAATTGAGGAAAAGGATCGGGCTTCAGTTGAGTCCATTCTGATTGATATATCATTATCGCGTCTTCCTTGTCAGACGATAGAACTGATCTTCGTCGATTTTGAAAAAGAACCATGATCCAAGTGACTTTGCATTAGAATCTGCCATTTTGAGGTTTCCGCAAGTGATCAAGCCACTAGCGAGGGCGATCGGGTTGTCGATTCCGACACAATACGAGCGAATCGAGCGGGCGCAAGTTGAGGAGGGATACACGGATGACGTGGCGAGGAACATGCTCCATCTGAAGGCCCGGATTTACGCCGTCCGGTCGGCCTCGCTGTGGAAGGTGGCCGAGATCTCGGAGTGGTTGCGGCAGATCCTTGAGCGCGCCGTCGTCAAGTTTTCCCAGCCGGATGATCCCGACGTCCAGCTCGGCACCCAGTTCGCCACTAATCCCCAGCTCCACTCGGCCGCTGCTGAGGGCATCTATCGAGCCGTGCTTGTTTCCGGTACGTCCTTTTTTACCTTGTTGTGCATGTATAGCAAATTACTGATTCTATACCCCCCTCAATTTTCTTTTGTTCATTGGCTCGCGTAGACGTTCAAGCGTTCAAGAACTTCCTTCCTCCCGCTGTCTATTCCCATTCGACCACCGCATTCTCCTTCGACCCATTGCCCCCGGAAGGAGGGACGAGCTACGATGCGGAATATTTCAGGAAAGGGGACGAGATGATCGATGGTCCGAGTGAGATGGCTCGCAGGAGAGAAGCGGAAGAGGAGGAGGAGGAGGAGGAGGGCTTTGCTGGTGGGATGGTTGGGGAGGAAGAGGCCGAGCGGGCGCTCGAGGAGCTCTTCGAGAATGGGGACGTCGATCATCTCGAGCCGGAGCAACTCAACCAAGTCGCCAACCAGCTCCAACTCTTCCTCCAGCTCGGCTACGAGCGGCTGCAACCTGAACAGCGTGAGGTCCTTCGTGCCCGCTTCGATCGACTTTTCGAACGCCGCCAGCATGTCCCTCCTCCTGTTGAGCGCCCCGCGGACGAAGATCACCATTCCTCTACCTCTGACGATGATGTCGACCTACCGATGCCCGGAGCCTTCGCCAACACGTTTTGAGATAAGAACCATAAAAAAAACTCAGATCTCCTGCTTTGTCTACTCTTCCCCCCTCCCCCCCTCTCCTGTACCTTTTTTCTCTTCTCTCTCATGTATTCTAATCTATATACCCATCTTGAAGGCTTTTTTATGATTTGCGCATTTCTCCTTTTTTTTTTTTTTGATGGGTAAGCTCGGTTTATTTTATGTTTGCTCTGATATATAATCCAGCAGGAAAAGAAAACATGGGGTCATTTTGATCCCGTTGTCTTGAGTCAACTCGTTCTGTTACCCTACATACTCATCCGCATTTTAATCGCACGAAAGGCTTGACAGATGGTCAGGACTCAGACTTTCATGTGAAATTGCCCCACTTGGAAGACACGTCTTCACATATCTATCTGGCGCCGGTTCCTCACAGCGCGAAATACATGCCATCGCGGTAGTATATGTTTGCCCGGGGAATGACACATAACTCAAGTGATGGTATTCGCAGTTGGTACGACAGGCCCCGTCACGAAACCGTTAGATCTGCCATCTCTGCCTCACATCAATATCATCTCCTTCCTTCTTTCTCGGCTTATCGTGAGATGATAGGTGACGGGCGTACATATCGCCCAGCACAAAGCTCAAGGTCAAAGTGTGAGTTACACCAATTCTCGCTGAATCAATTGGATGCTGCGCAATCGGGCGGTGCTCAAAGTGTTTTGATTCTTCAAATGGCCATGTATGTATGTAGACCCCGCAATGTGTGATCAAACAACAAATAGTATGGCATAGGTCTTTTATTGACTGTGAGTCGGAATCAGAGAAAACCCACCTTAGAGAGAAAGATCAAGGGGTCCAAAAATTACCAAAGTGCACCTCGACATCTCACTTTGTTCTTTTCTTCGGCAGCCCATAAAACCAGAGATTCGGGCAACATGCGCAACTCACGGCCTCTGTATCTCACTTTAATAATAATATGCGGCTGGCAGATGTGCAGCTTCCAAGCGGTCGAGCCTTCCGAGGACCTTGTCCTTCCCAATGCAAGCCCAGACTCGACGGCACCGAGTCTTGCAGAGAAAGAAATCGTACGCGGGAGGGACGATCCGAGTGAAATTGCACCAAGCAGGGGCCAGGAGGAATCAGTCGGCATCTTCAAGCGGCCCGGGACGGATATGATCAACAGTCATTCACATCCTTCATCTCTCGAAGGTAAGACTCCCTCTCTAGGGGCACGTTTACTGCTTGCTCAAAAGTCAAATCACACATATTCGGTTTCTAATTGTTTTCTTGACCTTGGTAATTCTTCCAATCAGCTTTACGCGCCCAAGCTATTGCTTTGAAAGATCGGAAGAAGCCCGGGCTGTCTGGTGAGCTTGTTACACCCTGTGCTGTGTACACCGTAAATAAATTGTCTAACAAAGCTTGATGAAATTGATTCAATGTAGACATAGAGAACAACACCATAGCTTGTTATGAGAAAACAATGACAAACTTCCATGATTGGAAGACGGGTTTCTGGAAATGGTCATTACCCAAGGAGGAACTGGTGGAAGTTCAACAGAAGCTACAAGAAGCTGAAGATGCACTTATGAATCTTTTTTCAAGAAGGCTTCGAGAACTGAGTGGTCAGCTGGATCAATTCAAGGCAATTGGCCCAATTGCATCTGAAAATCATGACCCATCTGATTACGTGATATGGATGGACTCAATTTTAGAGATTGAGGATACATGGGAGCTGACAGAATTAGATGATAAAGAAGAAGCAGTCCCATTTATCTGACAAGGCAGTAATCTGATTATCGATTTCTTCATTGCCTTGCAAACACTTGAAATTATCCCCCAGGAGGACCTCTCAGACTACTTAAACAAGGAGGATGGGGCACGAATGATATCATCTTATGCCTACAATGGGTTCCGTCAATCCAGGTTAGATGTATGCAAGCTTTACATGAACTTCAATGTGAGACTGAGTCTTCTTGAAGGTCCTGCCACACAAAAGGTGGTGAACCTGTTGGAGCGTAAGTCAAAAAATCCACTTGTATAATCTAAAGCATCAACCATGCAGCTTTCAAACAATCTCTCATTTACTTTTTAAAATCCACAGTCTTAGACAATGATGCATGGAGAAGAACTGAATTTGAATATTTGTGTGCTCAAGTCTGGCAATATTCTAAGGACCCTTCAATCAAAACACATGCTGAGAACTGGGAAGAATCCATCAGACCATTCTTTGAGGATTTCAAAAACCTTGCATCACAGAAATACATTGCTGAACTCTCAGTGGAGAAAGTGCAAGAATTCATTCAAGAGGCCATGACACAATTGAAAGTTGTGATAAATGAAGATGAAGCAGCCAGGTTTGCCATTGAAACAAAATCCTTGATTGAAACAAAGCTCATATATGACATGATTAGTTTCATTATGCGTTATCATCAAGACATTTTAACTACAATCAAGGACAATAATCAAGGGAAGAGATTTTACATTGACTTATGTGCCATTGAAAGATCCGTTGGATTTCTCTCTGATGTCTACCACTCAATATATGTCAGAGCAAGAGAATATCAAAATAGCTTGGATCATGTCCCATGGAAGCCTGATTTCTTGGTGGACAACAATGAAAATAGACAGATCCCACTCTTTCCGGCAGAGAAAGATTGGACTGAAGGCATAAAATCCTGGGCTGAAGAAGGAAAAGATTCACTTGATGAGGATTTAAAGCCCAGATTACCCGAGCTTTCTCAAAATGAATCCGTTCAGAAATCCATTCAAAAATGTCATTCCCATTTTCCAATACAGTGTTACCTAATCACAAAAGTCAGGAGTCCTGAAAGACGGATACCATTTGATTATAACTTCAGAGTTATGTTGGAACATTATCCAGTTTCATCTAGAATAATTGTGAAACATTATGAGAATTTGTTCCAAGAAAGACTTCCAAGAGATAAACTAAATGAAAAAATAAATGAGGTCATTTTCTATGCACATTATATCCCTAGCAACTTGAAATGATGTTTCATTTTCATTTTCTTGTGATATTTTTTCAAATTTCCAGATCCTCTTTGGTGTTCCTTATCATATTTTGTGATATCCTGTTTTTTTTCCACCACATCCAAATTTCTTGTTGTTTTTCAATTTTTTTTTGTGATTTCAATTAGACTGAAAGATTGAGCCTAAAGAAAAGAGAAAAAATTTCCAGAAGTAAGTAATGGGAAATGTTCAGGATTCTTTTTGGAATTATAAATCCCTGGAAAGCAGAGAACTTTTCACCAATGGGCTAGTGAGGCTAACCGTAGCATTAGCACAGCTTAGCATAGTGGAATTTTTTTGAAAAATAGTGTAGAATACACTGACACTTTTTAAGCAAAAAGAGTAGCAGCCCACCCTTGATATTTTTTAGTCCTGAAAAGATCTTCTTTGTCTATCATGAATGTAAGTTCTAGGTTTTGAATAAATTGAATCTTGAATTTTTTTAGGGGGTTGGAAAAACGACTCCCAAAAATTGTCTGACAACTCCAATTTTGTTCGAGGGGTCGTCGGGCGGGAGTTGTTCCTCCAAATCGATGGCCGACTTTGGGAGTTGGCCATCCAATTAGTTTTTAATTTTTTAAATTTTTATAATTTTTTTTAATTTTAGGGAGTTGGCGCCCCAAACCACCCCTCATTCTTGAGGGGGTTTGGGAGTCATTTGATCCCATGACCGGAAGGATTTCCTTCCGGTCTACAAGAAAGAAAAACCTCATCAACCGGAAGGGATTCCTTCCAGTCAATGAGGTATAACAACCTCATCGGCCGGAAGGGATCCTTCCAGTCAATGAGGTATGACAACCTCATTGATTGGAAGGAATGCCTTCCAATTGATGAGGTTGTGACCCTCATTGACTTCCAATCAATGAGGTTCATAACAACCTCATTGATTGGAAGGAATTCCTTCCCATCAATGAGGTTTTTACCCTCATCGACGGTGTGGTCATTATTCCTGTGTATGAAGGGAGAAAATTCAAAATTTTATTATTTATCAATGAAGGACTCACAATATGGACAAATGGACGTCAGAAATGGAATCTACGGCCAATTTAACCCCTAGTCACTCACTGGAACCACCTTCATATCTCTACTGGATCAGAAGTTACGCAGAATCAAGGATGTCACACGGAGAATCACAGGATCAGAGGCACTCAGCTGGAGGGTATATTGCATGGGGGTATATTGCATATTGCATATTGAATTCCTTTTATCAATATTGAATTCCTTTTATACTTACAGAACCACAAGTTGGCCACCAGTTGTACCAGTTAAATTCCCATTTATTCAGCCACAGAACACATGAATTCCTTTCTTACAGCTTACATATAAAAGGAATGCGTTGTAGATAGTCTAGCCAAAATCCCTCAGGATTTTCAAGGATAGGGCAGCTTAAATGCCTCATACAGGGGGTCCCTTGGGGCTAAAATCCCTCATAATTTACTATATAAGGAGGCCTCTGCCTGCCAGTTGTTTCCCTCCTCATCCCACTCAGTACACATTTTTTGGTGGGACACCTGTCACAGATTACATATATTTATTACACAAGAAGTTCACGAGTAGTACAGTTCACAGATTGAAATATATACACAGTTCATTTCACAAACATTACACAGAAGAGACAGTCCTTTGTTCCAGTCCTGGTTGAAGCATAGTGCTCCCAGACCCTTTGGGTTCAAGAACCACCTCTATTACATTATACATATACAGCATCAAGGAAGAACACGAGTATCAAGACATCAAGACGAGAAACAACATCAACAACTCAATCAATTCTTTGGACAACAAGATCAACCTTCAACAATTATACAACCATCTTTGAACATAATCCATTATCACCAACCAAACTGCCAAGCTTACCTTGGTGGTCTTGTTTTCTGATAATATAGAAAGGCAGAGTTTGCAGCTCATTTCATCCCTTTCTCCATTCAGCAAAAAGGATCTTACAATCAATTTTTGAGTCTTACAACGGAAGGAATCCCTTCCAGCTGATGAGGATGGTATAAGAACGTCATTGACCGGAAGGAATCCCTTCCATCGATGAGGATGTTATACCTCATTGACTGGAAGGAATCCCTTCCGGTTGATGAGGTTTTTCTTTCTTGTAGACCGGAAGGAAATCCTTCCGGTCATGGGATCAAATGACTCCCAAACCCCCTCAAGCATGAGGGGTGGTTTGGGGTGCCGACTCCCTAAAATTAAAAAAATTAAAAACTAATTGGATGGCCGACTCCCAAAGTCGGCCATCGATTTGGAGGAACGACTCCCGCCCAACGACCCCTCGACCAAAATGGGAGTTGTCGGACAATTTTTGGGAGTTGTTTTTCCGACCCCCTTTTT